TGTGAGGAAAAGATGCTCTATGTGGGAAAACGTTTAACCTATTTTCTCTAGTCTGAGCTTTTCTGCCCTTTGTTTCAACATAATAACCTTACTAAGTGCAAAGTGTTTGTAACCTGCAAAGGTTTTCAGTACTTTGATTTTTTTTTCTGGTGGGAAGTTGGTCTGATCTTCCCTTAACATTCACTGTGAAACATGAGGCAGAGAATCCTCATTTTATAATCAGATGGTGTGAGTTCAAGACATTTCCTTAGTCACACACACACACACACACACACACACACACACACAGAGAGAGAGAGAGAGACACACACACACACACACACTTTGACTGAGATTTGACTACGTTAACAAGGATTTTTGGGGCTGGAGCGATAGTACAGCTAGTGGGCATTTGCATTGCATGCGACCGACCCAGGTTTAATTCCCAGAATCCCATATGGTCCCCTGAGCACCACCAGGAGTAATTCCTGAGTGCAGAGCCAGGAGTAATCCCTGTGCATCACCAGGTGTGACCCAAAAAGCAAAAAAAAAAAAGGAGGAAGAAGGGAAGAAGAAAGGAGGAGGAGGAGGAGAAGGAAGAAGAGGAGGAGAGGGAGGAGGAGGAGGAGGGAAGAAGAACGATTTCCTTGCTCATGCTTCTTAATTTTAAAAAGAGTAATGTTTTGTTGATTTTTTAAATTTATTTTGATTAACTTATTTGACCTTTGTATTGTAATTCCATTTTAGTTCTCTAACCTCCTAATAAATTGGATTGGTAGTTCTATGTAATCAAAGTAAATAACCTGCAGTGTTCGACTTACTGGGATTTCAACTTAACAGTATGGTATGGGAAAATTTGGGCTCAAATTTTATTGACATAGGAGGCTTTACAATTAGAGGCTGTATTTCAGCGATACTGCGTTGCTAAACATGGCACGCCGCTACTACTTACTCTTCATTGCTTCCTCTAAGAATCATCATTTCCATGCGCTAATCTTTGAAACAGCCATTCCGTGGGAATTAGGCTAGAACTTTTGCTAAGGGGTCACATTTACCAGCCTGACAGTTACACATTTACAAAAGAAATAGCACAAATTTATTCAGCATCAAAACCTCTGAATCTTTTACCACCTAACTGCATTTTACACTATATTACCATCAATGCTCTCTAATGTCTATGTAACTTTCAAGAGATTATTTAATTAACTAGTATTCTTTGAACAAAAAGAAAAGTGCTGTTTTTATAGAGGAATAAAAGCTGTGTGAAATGACAGTGAAGGAGACATCAGATTATTCTCCATTGCAGCTATAGGGAATGTTCTGCCCCTCTCTTTCTCTACAGTCACATTATTTCCCCTTAGCTTGATTGAATGGAAAATAGGGAAATAGGAAATGGTTTGCTGCTTCAGCCATGTTTGAGTATATTGTAGTGGCCACATCCTAAATACATACTGGGCTAGGTACTAATTATACTTTCCTGTATAAGTAGTCATTGTTATTAGATTTGATGATTTATTAGATTTGGTAGGAATGATCAAGGCTTTCTCCATGGCTCTGTATTCACCGGTTACTCCTGACAGTGCTGGAGAACCACACGCAGTGTCAGGGAATAAACTGGGTTTGGCCACATACAAGGCAAGCACCTTACCCATGCCCTATTACTCAGACCCAGGGTTATTTTTATGTTTGGAGCGATAGCACAGCGGGTAGGGCGTCTGCCTTGCACGCAGCCAACATGGCCGACCCAAGTTCGAGTCCTCCGCCCCTCTCGGAGAGCCCGGCAAGCTACCGAGAGTATTCGATATGCCAGACACAGTAACAACAAAGTCTCCAATGGAGACGTTACTGGGCCCGCTCGAGCAAATCGACGATCAACGGGAGGGTCTTTACCTTTACCTTTACAGTTCTAGGCAAGTTACTTAAGATTTCTGTGCTTCAGTTTCCTATCTCTTAAGTGAAGAGAATCATATAGAGCACACAATAATGGGTGGTGAATTGATTTATTAAAACACTGATGAGTTGTGCCAGTGCATACTAAGTCATAGACTCCTATATGTATATCAGTGATCTAATGTAAAGTTGATGTGGTAGATATTTCTCTCGATATTTCTTTTTCTCTTCCCTAGATATTTCTTTTTTAAAGTATCCACATCTCATAGGGCACTTTTGCCTATAACAGAAGGGTACTTTCTAAAACCTTTAAAAACAAAGGCTTATTAAATATTTCCCTTTATTGTAAGATAATTACTTTAAAAATTATGTAATTAATTTACTTAAATTAAGGGTAGCGAAGACATTGGTTGGTCACATCTTTCTAGCCTGTACCCTACTGCCAGACCTTGCATTCTAAAATATAGTTTGCTATTATCGGTTTCAGTTCAGAAGGCTTCAGTATTTACTCCAGATAAAAACTTCTGTCTTGCACCATTTCTATCAGGTTTGGGCTCTTATACTCCCTCTCCCTGTCCTTTTTCCTTTTTTATCCGTTGCTCATCTATAGGAAACACCTATTCCAGTTAAAATTGATCTAGAGTCATTTCTCAAATGTACCATTTTCTCTTTTTCGTTCTCACTATTTTGTCTAACATGTCTTCTCTCTTCCTCCATTCATCTTATATGTTGTTAATATTCTAAGCGGAGCCAGAAAAGGGAAGGGGCATACATATGTGTATGGGGGGGGAGGCTCTCATATGCAAGACAAGCATTTTATTATTAAGCTATGTAAAGCTTTTTACCTCCTCTCTATATATATGTACATATATATATACATATATATATACACACACACAGATAGAATCACAATGTGATTATCTGGTTATAGCAATTGTTAAATTAAAGCTATTAATGATGACTAATTTCCCTGTTAACTCTTTTCAAACTACATTTAGCATCTAATCACAGTACCGCATCTTCTCTCTCCTCTCTCTTGGCCAAGGCATACTAATCTCAGTCTATCTCTTTCTCCTTTTCTTCCTGCTCCACCACTCCACCTTTGATCAACACACGCCTCCCCCGCCAGTTACTTTCAACATAGCAATTTAAGTAATCTATTTTAAACTATTTAAAATTTAAGTCAGATCTTATCACATCTCTTGTCAACATCCCCTGCCCATCCTTTCCCATCTCACCCAGAATATAACTAAAAACTTCAGTAGCCTACAGCTCCTCTTAAAGTCTACCACTTCCTCCCAAACCCTTCTCTGCCCACAATCCTTTTACCACTTTGTTCTTATATCATGCTATTCTCTACTCCTGTGCAGTGCCCTCCTTGCTGTTGTCTCTAGACTCAAAGCAGAATCAGGGCCTTTGAACAAACTAATCCCTCTCACTAGAAAACTCCTTGGAAAAATCTTCATGTTCCATCCTTCCCATGGGGCTCTGATCAAATGTCTTCTCAATAAGATCATCATTGATACTCCCTAGTCTACTATCTATTTCCCTAAACAAAAGTCTAAATTCTCCAGTACAGTAAGACGTGTGTGTGTGTGTGTGTGTGTGTGTGTGTGTGTGTGTGTGTGTAGGGTTCTGTTCTCAAAATCCAAAACACAATCTCACAGATAAAAAGTACTTCAAAAGTAGTATTTAACGTGTGAGTGAAATGTTGACACTTAAAAATATGTTCATATTTGTAATCCTCTACTAGCTTCAAATGTATTTAGGCTCAAGCAAAAGCAAATGTCCTATAATAATAACAAGAAAGTTAAAATAGCAAGTGTTGAATATTAGCCTTGGCAATTGGACTATGAAATTCCATTTCTGAGAAAAGAGATGTCTGCAACTAGTAAAGAAAAAGAAACAGTTTACATTATAGTTAACTGCCTTGTTAAATTATATTGGTGTCTTGGGGAGACTATCCTTGACTCAACATTAATGCACATTTTGGAAGAACAAGTGGTTTTGGCCACCCCTGTGCTCTGTCTAAGGTGGAGAATGGAGCTAGTATGTAGTTTTCTCATCATCTAGCAGCAGAGTAAAATGGTGAAAAGAGCTTTATTGTTAGAGTCAGACATTAAACACTGAGTTAAACCCTGGCACTACTAGGTAGTATAATAGATTAGATTGATTAATTAATTAATCTTGAAGAGATTATATATCTTCTCTGAATCTTATGATTTATATAATTATCGAAATCATAAGCTATAAATATTATAATAATAGTCTGATTATGTATAAAATGGTACTAATAAAGGTTTTCACTATTCTTAATATTAAGTAATAGAAGACACATGAATCATGAGACATGTTCTGTTATGAATTTTAATAAATAACTTGTGAGCATTGTATCCTATGGAGGTAGCGATATCTTGTTTTCTTTTTGCTTTTTTCCTTTTTGGCTCACACCCAGCAATGCTCAGGGGCTACTCTTGGCTCTGCATTTGGGAATTACTCCTGGAGGTGCTTGGGGGACCATGTGGGATGCTGGGAATTGAACCGGGCCAGCCGCATGCAAGGCAAATGCCCTACCCGCTGTGCTATTTCTCCAGCCTGGTAGTGATATGTTTTGATGCTCAGTCCTACCCTTTACTTAAAGCAGAGGGAAAAGTAGCCTTTCCACTCATGTTTAAAGAGTAAGTCTTTCCTCCTGAGTCTTGCACCACACAGAAGCTCGGCAACACTAACTCTCTTGTCACAAGCTGACAAATTACAGCAGCCTTCCTAGTTCCTGAACTTGACCACCTACCTGAGTTCAGAAACCTATGCTTTATACCAGAACCCTCCTTCTATTTTTATTTTCAGTTCTCTCCACTTTCCTTATTCTCAAAATGTTCTGGTAGGTATCTGAAGTTGAAGATGCCATACCAAAAATTATCTATGAAATCAACAAAAGAAGAGTAAGATCAGTCAGCTGCTCTACATAATAAAAGTCATGAATATTAACTTTCAAATTGAGATGTGACAATCATGCATATGGGTTAAAATTTGGAATTATAACTTCCAGAGGGAAGAAAATATTTTGTCAGACCCCCTAAGCTAACTTATTGTGTGTTTATTTTAATGCAATTTTGTTTTGGAATCTAAAGGAAGCCAAAGCTGTAGTTGAAGAAACAAAAGCCCTTCGAAGTCGTCTTCATCTTGCTGAAGCCGCACAGAGGCAGGCACACGGTATGGAAATGGACTACGAAGAAGTCATCCGTCTGCTAGAGGCCGAGAATACAGAGCTAAAGGCTCAGCTTGCTGATTATTCTGACCAAAATAAAGTAAGCAACACAGTCCTCTTCTAGTTACCATGGTTTCCTTGCCGTTGTCATGTATCCTGTTTTCATTTTCTTTTCATCTGCGCTTCTAAACTAGGTCAGTGTTTGTCTTCTCTTAGTCAACTATAGGATGATGAGTTGTGATGCGGGTAACTGGGGAGGTTTTAAGCATCCTTTTATCCTGATAGCTTTGGGATGGAAGAGCATGTGGCCCAAATTTATGAGCATTATTGGTTAACATTGTACCCTCAGTCCATGTGTCCGGGAACTATTGCCATTTCACTAGTTACATTAGTTTTCTCCTTTTGTTTCTAAAGTTGCTAATGTGTCTTGTGGGGATGGAAACAGGAGAGTCTAGGGACAGTTTTGCTCTTTGATTAGAGTACTCAAAGAAGTGATAAAGTTAAATAATTTTTGCCGAAGGCTTAAGATAATTAATGAAAAGTGATTTTGAATTTCCTTTCCTTTTAATGTAAGATGTACTAAATTAGACTGGCAATTATTTTCATACCAAAATAAAAATTTATTTCAGAAAGCAATGTGGACAGGTTTTATTTTAATTAACATTATTTTGTTTTTATTGATGTAACATTAGTTTATAATAGTGCATATTTTTAAAAATATATTAGGGGTAAAGAATTGCCATACCACATCTACCTCCAAAGCATCAGTATCTTTCCATACAGTTCACAGAATCCTTCCATAGTACCCTTTCAGTGGCTGGAGTGATAGCACAGCGGGTAGGGCGTTCGCCTTACAAGCGGCCAACATGGCCAACCCGAGTTCGATTCCTCCGCCCCTCTCGGAGAGCCCGGCAAGCTACCGAGAGTATTCGATATGCCAAACACAGTAACAACAAAGTCTCCAATGGAGACGTTACTGGGCCCACTCGAGTAAATCGACGATCAACGGGAGGGCCTTTACCTTTTACCTTTTTACCCTTTCAGCCCACCCTCCTCTTCCCACCTTAGTAATCTTCATTCTTTTGTTAGAATCATTGGGTTTGTTTTCACTGGAGTTGTCTACTCTCTTGATTTATTTATTTATATTCTTCATATGAGTGAGAGCATCCAGTATTTATTTTACTCCTTCGGACTCATTTAGCTTAGCATGATACCCTCCAGAGCTGGAGCGATAGCACAGCGGGTAGGGCATTTGCCTTGCACGCAGCCAACATGGCGGACCGGAGTTCGATTCCTCTGCCCCTCTCGGAGAGACTGGCAAGCTGCCAAGTATCTCACCCACACGGCAAAGCCTGGCAAGCTACCCGTGACATATTTGATATGCCAAACACAGTAACAACAAAGTCTCCAATGGAGATGTTACTGGGCCCGCTCGAGCAAATCAGTGAACAACGGGAGGACAATGACAGTGGCAGTGATACCCTCCAGGTGTGTTCGTTTTGTAGCGGAAGACATGATTGCATCTTTCCTTATAACTGAGTAGTATTTTTCCATTCACTCATTCATCATTGTGCTTGGGTTGTTTCTAGATCATAAATAGCACCACAGTCAACATAGGTGTTATATATCATTTCAAGGTAATATTTCTGTCTTCTTTGGCTAGATGCCTAGGAGTAAAGTTGATGCATGATATGGTAATTCTATTTTTATTTTTTTTAGTAGTTTTTATTACTCAGTGCTGTAAAGGTGTAAAGTATGAACCAGACAACCATCCAACCAAAAGTGAATGAGGGCTCCTTTTTTCTCTAGACTATCCCATCATCATTTGTTCTTTCTACCCTTTTTAATGTAGGCCATTTGTTCTGGTATGACATGATAGCTCATTGTCACTTTTATTTCTCTGATTATAAATCAGAATGGTGAGCATTTCTTCATGGGGTTTTTTGACTATCTGAATTTTTTGAGAAATGTTTGCTCAGCTGTTCAGATCTTCTCATTTTTTGAGGGCATTACTTGTGATGGTTGTTCCTAAGTTTTTGTGTGCTTTTTATATCTTGGACAGTAACCTTTTGTCGGTTGTATGGTGTGTAAATATTTTCTCATTTAGTTGCATGTCTTTTTTAGTGATTTTTAATTTTGTGTAAGTGGATGGTGCAAGAGATTAAACTCATTGGCTGGAGCAATAGCACAGCGGGTAGGGCACTTGCCTTGCACGCAGCTGACCAGGGCCAACCCTGGTTCAATTCCTCCGCCCCTCTGGGAGAGCCCAGCAAGCTACCAAGAGTATCTTGCCTGCACGGCAAAGCCTGGCAAGCTAACTGTGATGTTAGCTTGCCAAACACAGTAACAAGTCTCACAATTTGATGAGATGTTACTGGTAGGGCTGGAGTGATAGCACAGCGGTAGGGCATTTGCCTTGCAGCAGCCAACATGGCCGACCCGAGTTCGATTCCTCCGCCCCTCTTGGAGAGCCTGGCAAGCTACCGAGAGTATCTCGCCCGCACAGCAGAGCCTGGCAAGCTACCCATGACGTACTCGATATGCCAAACACAGTAACAACAAAGTCTCCAGTGGAGACGTTACTGGGCCCGCTCGAGCAAATCAGTGAACATTGGGAGGACAGTGCTACAATGCTACCTCACACATACACAAGGCAAGTGCTTTATCACGGAACTATGTCCACGACCCTAGTGAGAATTTCTTTCTTAATCCAGATGCTTTTTAGTTTGATAGGATCCCGTTATTTATCTTGCTTTTGTTTTCCTTGGCTATAGAATTGAAAGCACCACAAAGTCAGCATTTCTATTTTGTTTATGTTTTCCTCATATATTTCATTAATTTGACTCTAACAGACAAATCTTTAATCTATGTAAATTTAGTGTCTGTGTATGGTATAAGAGGGTGGTACAAATTCATTCCACTGCAAGTAGCTAACCAGTTTTCCTAACTCCATTTGTTAGACTTTTCTTTCTCCCTTTAATATTCTTAACTCCTTTGTGGTGAATTAATTATCCATACTTTATTTCTGGGCTTTTAATTCTATTCCATTGGTTGGAGTGTCTGCTTTTATTCCTCTACCACTGAACCACATGGTTTTGATTGCTATAGTTGAGTTTTAAGTTGGGAAACATAATGCTTTCCATCTTGTTTTTTTTTTCAGAATTGCTTTGGTTATTGGGTGTGGTTTGGGGGAAAGAGGGCATGGTACCAGGCAAATTTAGTCCTATCCTTATGTTCTTTAAAAATGCTTTTGAAATTTTGAGGGATTGCATCAAATCTATATAAATGTTTGGAGTGGGTTAATCATTTCATCAAGGTTGATGTGCTTTTTTTTCTAATTTTTTATCACTATCACTATCACCCCGTTGTTCATTGATTCGCTCAAGCGGGCCCAGTAATGTCTCCATTCGTCCCTGTCACGTACTAGTGTAGCCCAATGACATATTGGGGGCTCCTTCAGGATTAGGGAAATGAGGATTCATTGTTATTGTTTTTGACATATCGAGTATCCCACGGGTAGCTTGTCAGGCTCTGCCGTGCGGGCAGTATACTCTCGGTAGCTTGCCAGGCTCTCCGAGAGGGATGGAAGCTTTTGGGGTAGCCTCTAATCACCTTTACAGGCGTTCCTAGTCAGGTATATAGGTGGGTATGATACTCTCAGTAGCCTGCCGGGTTCTCTGAGAGTGAGAACTAAAGAATAAGAAGTCATGCGGCTGACTTGGAGATCTCAGCCCCGGGTCCCCCACACCTGGATTCCTCTGCCAGTTCCTCATCCAAGCGTGTGGAGAGTGGTCTCAGCATGCCTTTGGCTAGGTCCCGGAGGTCCTCAGCTGTCGGGGCTCTGCTCATGGCGGAGAGGGAAACTCAATCCGCCCTCCTCCAAGGGGCCCCGGTGAGGACAGCCAGGTGCAGGAGCAGGAGACTCTGCCTTGTTCTCTTCTGGGAGCTTGGTTTTCTATTTTTTTTAAAAAATAATTTAATGTAATGTATGTATTTTATCTTATTGTCTGCAGTAGTGATAATTTAGCTTCTTTTCTAGTTTGAATTCCTTCCATTACTCTTTTTATTTTTACCCTAATTGCTGTGGCTAGTACTTCCAGTACTATGTTTGTTGAATAATAGTGGTGAGACCAGACACCCTTCCTTTTTTGAGGGGATCACACCCAGCAATACACAAAGGTACTCCTGGCTCTGCACTCAGGAATTACTCCTGGCATGCTCGGGGAACCATATGGGTTGCTGGGAATCGAACCCGGGTTGCCACGTGCAAGGCAAATGCCCTACCTGCTGTGCTATTGCTCCAGCCCCCAGACACTGTTCTTTTGTCCCTCATGTTGGAATTAAAGCTTGCAACTTTTCACCACTGAGTATGATAACCGTGTGTTTCTTGTGGGTTCCCTTTACTGTGTTTGGGTATATTCCTTCTATCCCTATTTTGTTCAAAGTATTCATCATAAAGAGATATTAATCTGGCTACAGATGAGTCTCAGTGGTAGAGCTCTTGCCTTGCATCTATGAGATCATGTATTTAATCCCCCAGTACTTCTAAAATAGCCAAAACCCAAAGAAAACAAAATAAAGGGAATGTTAAATCATATCAAAAGTGTCCTGTGCATTTAATGATATGATCATATATTTTGATCTTTCCTTTTGGTTATGGCTGTACTGCATTCATTTTTATATGTTGAACTATTCATGCATCTCTGAAATAATTCTCATGGTTAATTGGTGATACGTGCTATGATCCTTCTAACCTATTGTTGAATCTGGCTCATTATGTTCTTATTAATGGTGTTTACATCTGTGTTTATCAGGGATATTAGCCTGTAGTTTTCTTTTGTGATATCTGTGTCTGCTTTTGGTATTAGGATAATGTTTGCTTCATTGGAACTGTTTGAAAACAAGTTCCATTTTTTCACTTTTTTTGGAAGAGTTTGATAAGGTAATAGGTCATATTTGCAGGTTTGTTAGAATTCGCTGGTCAACCCATTTCATCTAAGGGTTTTGTTTTGGGAGAGTATTTTGATTATTGTTTCTCTTGCCTTGCTTATATGTGACATAGTCATGTTTTCTGTTTTATCCTGATTGACTATTAGAAGGTTGTCTAATTCTATTAAGTTCGCCAATTTAGTGGCATGAAGTTGTTTATGTAAGTTTCTTATTAACAATATATTTCTTTGCTATCTGTCATAACTCCTCTCCTTTTATTTCTAATTCTATTTGGTAGGGTTTTTTTAGTCCAAAAATCTAGCTAAAATATGTTGTTTATTATATATTTACAGTAAATATTGATAAATGTTTACACTGCCTAGTTTTTTAAAAAATACTGTGATGTATTCGATATGCCAAACACAGTAACAACAAAGTCTCCAGTGGAGACGTTACTGGGCCCGCTCGAATAAAATGATGAACAACGGGAGGACATTGACAGTGACATTGAAAAAATCACAGAAACAAAAAATATATGAACTATATTGACTCCATAAACATTTTATTATTTTTGTGTATTTTGTTTTTTTGCTTTTTTTGGGTCACAGCCGGCGATACACAAGGTTACTCCTGGCTCTGCACTCAGGAATTACTCCTGGCGGTGCTCAGGGGACCATATGGGATGCTGGGAGTCAAATCCGGGTTGGCTGCGTGCAAGGCAAATGCCCTACCCACTGTGCTATCTCTCCAGCCCCTGTTTTTGTGTATTTTAATGTCAGCTTATACTTTCTACCAAAATAAAAAATCACCTGCTCTTTTACTAAAAAGTATTAAATAAACAGTTTATTTGGGGGAAAAAAATTGTATTTAAACTGAGTCCATTTATAAACAACACTGCAATACAGAAAAGTTAGCTATACAAGAGGATCTAGTCTATAATAATATTACATCTTCAATATTTTTTGGTAGTGTGTTTATATATGTTCAAAGTGAGCTTAAAATAATTCTGCAGTAGTTTGATGTGTTTTCTAGACTCCACTAAATCAGGATTATTAACAGTGATTTTAGGCCATAGAAATTGCTTTGTCAATGGTATATTTTAAAATCTCCTTTGTCAGGACAAGAGTAGTAGTAGAGCTGGTAGAGCACTTGAATGCAGAGCAAGGAGTAACCCCTAAACATCAAAGGGTGTGGCCCCCAACCAAACAAATAATAATTAAATAAAAATAAATAAAACGTCCTTTGTACTTTCTTCTTAAAATTTTTATTATATACTCTGAAGTGATCATTTTAACTGTACACAAGCTTAGAATTAGGTTGTCATTCCTTGTGAAAATGTTATCAGACATCTCTAGCTTTCTCATGTTATTTGTCTATATCGTCCATCTTTTACACTTAACTTTGCACTCTCCTTAATATTGTAATGTGCATATGATTAACGTGTAATCCAATTTGTACCATCTTACTAATTTTTCATCTTTTTATGTTTTTTAATACTATTTTTTGTTTTGTTCAAATTTTGTTTGTTTAGGAGCTATGCCTGGAGCAATAGCACAGCAGTGGGGCATTTGCCTTGGATGTGGCCGGCCTGGCTGAGCCGGGTTCGATTCCTCCACCCCTCTTAGAGAGCCCAGCAAGCTACCAAGAGTATCCTGCCCACACCGTAGAGCCTGGCAAGCTCCCTGTGGCAATATGCCAGAAACAGTAACAACAAGTCTCACAATGGAGACGTTACTAGTGCCCGATGAACAAAGGGAGAACAGTGCTACAGTGCAGGAGTTATGCCCAATGGGTTCAGGACTTATTCCTGGCTCTGTGCTTAGAGGTCACTCCTGATAAAGTGTGGGGGACAATAGCCAGAGATCCAACAGAGGTCTGCTGTGTGCAATGCAAGCACCTTAAAAACTGTACTATCTTTTTGTTCCACTGGTAGTTTTTTTTAAAAATTGGTTCAGATTTCTACTGTATCCCTTGCTATCACTCCATTTATTTTTCACTGTTAGTTTAAAAGTTAGATTTTGCTACTAATTGTTAATGTTTATCCTAGAAATTTTTTACATTCTATTTTAACAGGTTATAAAACTGATCACTAGTTTTCCTCTTCTAAATTTTACAGCATATCAGAACATAGATCCAATTATTGACTTTTGACAGTATGTATTAGACACAATTACAATTTATTTTGTGTATCCTATCTTTGTTTAGATTGACTCCTTATACTTACCATTTTCTTTGTCCAGTCTTTCTTCTTACATCTCAGAAATCCCCAGGTACTTTTTTTTAAGTACATCTTTTAGAAAAAATTTATTTGGTAAGAATCTGTTGATGATAAAATTTCTTATTTTGTCTGAAAACATTTATCTCTTGCTCTTTAAATATAATTTTTGCTGCTTGTAGAATGCAAAGTTGCTATTCGGTTTATTTCAGTGTTTTTATTCAATGTTGTGATATCAGCTGTCAATCTGTCATTTGTTTCCAATCTGTTGTTTATTTCTAAATGATTTTATAATCTCTGTGTCTTTAGTATTCTTCAGTTTGACTATGATGAGTCATGCGTTGACTTACTTTTATTTACATTGTTTGAATCTCATAGAGCTTCCTGATAAGAGACACATATCTTTTATCATTTCTAAAACACCCTAAGTTTTACTCTAAGCTTGTTTTTGACCCATCTTATGTATTTCAGAAAAGATGCCAGATCTTTATTTTACTGTTTTCTCTCTATTCTCTTCCTCCTATTGTTTTCTCTTTGTTTCTTCATTATAAGAAACTTCTTAACTTCTCTCTTCCAGTTTACCTCTTCTCTTTTTAGTTGTATCTAATTCAATATTAAATTCACAAATTGAGTTTCACCTTTATTTGTGATCACATTTTTCACTTTAAATTGATATTAGAGGCAGAGACATAGTACAATAGGTAAGGTCTTGCCTTCAGGTGACCTGAATTTGATCACAAGCACCAATATAGTCTCTACCAGGAATAATACCTAAGTTCAAAGCCAGGAGCAACTCCTGAGCACAGCTGAGTGGTTGTGGCAAAAAATTATTTTATGTTTTACATATTTTGATTCTTGTCCACGTATGCTGTCAATTTCTTCTTAGTTTTTATTTGTTTTGTTGGGGTGTTTTTGTAGTTTTGGGGTTTTTTTGTTTGGTTTGGTTTGGTTTGATTTGGTGGGGTGTGAGGGTGGGAGCAGCAAATCCAGCAAGGCTGCGGGACTATTCCAGTCCTGTGCTTTGGCGTTGATCATCCCCAGTGGTACTCAAGAGACCATGTGGCAGCAGGAATCAAATCCCCTCTCTACTATCTCTCTTGCTTATATTTAAAATCATCTTAAATGTTACTTTATGTGTATCTGGTCACATACTACAATGCATTATCTATTGTATTTATAGGTGTAACCCTGTAATTTGTTTCCTTATGACAACTTTCATTCATAATAGCTTATTTCCTGAGGCCATGCCTACTTTTGGAAAATTATATGTGGGAATTTCTGAGAACTGTGTTTAGAAAATATCCCTTCAGAAAAAAATATTTTGTTTACTTCAACTAGCCTGCAACCAATTTAAACAAAATTTTCAGTTTATAAATTTATAGATTTCATAGGTAATGTAAATTTTTAGTGCAAGTCTGCATGAATGGAGGCTTATTGTTAGAAATATCCAGAGGATGGGGCCAGAGTGATAGTACAACAGGTAAGGCATTCACCTTGTTCATCACCCACCCAGGATGGAACCCCAGCACCCCATATGGTCTCCCAGCCCATCAGGAGTGATTCCTGAGCCAGAGATAAGAGTAAACCCTGAGCACCACTGAGTGTGACCGCCCTCCCTCCCCCACAAAAAAAAAAAAAAGAAATCAACCAAAAGAAATATTCCATAACCACTCACAAGAGTCAAATTCAATAACCTTAAATAGGCTATTTTACATCAGTGAAGATTATAAAGGTTATTTCTTCCTAGTTCACCCATTAAATATTACTATTTGCCATTTATGCCTAATAAAAGGTGCTCAGCATCTCAGATTTTAAGGAGCACTGTATCCATGGGCCTACTGAACCATTGACCCAGTTGCCTGAGTATCACTGGGAGTGACCCCTATGTGCCCTGAGCACTAATTGGGAGACCTAAAAATATACAAACAAAATTTATTTTACTGTAACAATCAATAAAACTATCTATTTTATTTCATAAAAATTTCATCATTCCTACGCAATTTGACTTGGAATATATAAATGGAGAGTCCCCCCTCCCCCAATCAGGGGATATATACAGTAAGAAAGACAATACATGATACGGTATGTTTTATGTTAGTTATGAAAACAGGATATGAGTCATTATTATATAAATCGGAGAACTATATAAGACACTCCTTTTGACACTCCATTTTCCTGTCTAGGAAAATGTTCAGGAATTAAGAAAGAGAATCACAGTACTTGACTGCCAGTTGAGAAAATCAGAAATGGCCCGAAAAACTTTTGAGGCATCTACTGAAAAACTGCTTCATTTTGTAGAGGTAGGTAAATTTTTCTGTTCCATTATTTTATGTACATTCTTCAAAATGTATAGGCAACAGACAAATGAGCATTATGGAGTCCAGAGGCTTATAAAATTTTCTTGTGCTCAAAACAGCAGTGCTCACTTACAGTGAGATTTTTAATTACCCAGATAATTAAAATATCAACTATTTTAATGATTGTTAGGAAAAATCATTGGGGTAAGAGTTTTGATTTATTGATGATTTACATGTATTACCTTTTAATAAAGAGTTTTCAAAATATTATTTGATACATTTTTGCCCCATAAGTATGTCTATAAATTTATATTTCTGACTAAAATTCTCCCTACATAAACTTTGTAATGAATGATGTGGAGCGGTGATAGGGAAGTTATAAATATTAAGCAAGAAAAGACATTTTAAAAATCGTCAAACTTACTTATCTTCTTTACTCTCTTGTTTGTCACTAGGCTATTCAGGAATTATTTTCTCATCATCCTGCTTCTTTATCAAATTTAAGGTAAGATTAAGTGCTTTCTGAAAAGTATGACCACTGATTCCATTTTTCATCTAGAAGTGGTGAAAAGGTACTAGCTTGTTAGTTTTAAGATGCTGCACAACTCGTTATGGGTGTCATTCTTGAATGTCTCTTGGAAAAAGATTTAAGGACACATTGTTTTGGACCCCTCAGACAAATTTCTGGAAGTAATTAGTCAGACACTGTAACCTATAGGTAACTCTTGCTTTTTAAAGGTTCAAGTTATATCATTTTACATTTCAGGGAAAACCTGCACTAGTATATGGTTTCAAAAATTTGAAAAAGAATTCTGAATATTTTTACAGCAAAAGGTATAAAGCAGAAATAGTGTTCAGCATTTTTTTAACAAATATTCTAGAGGCATCTAGCAGGGGTTTTTGTCTCCCATCCCTTGGGACCTGCTTTATACACTAAATGCAGTAGTGGTGTCCAGCATTTGTTTTTCAACAAACATTGTAGAGGCATCTAGCAAGAGTGGTCTCTCCCACCTCTTGCATTGGGACCTGCATTATACAGGTTGTATATTTATTATATCATTTCTATTTTTTCTATATGTCATTGTTATTAGCCATATCTTCTGTGTTATTTGTGGCATGTTTTCTTTTATTTTTCAAAGTTTTTCAGTTAAAATTTTATGAGGATGTGCAAAAATATTAATGATATTCATTTATTTCAGGAGCCAGAGAGATAATACAAGGGTTCGGATGCTTGCTTACATATGGCTGATCTCAGTTCAATCCCTGGCACAAAACATGGTCCCCTAAACTTTACCTGGGGTCACACCTAAGCACAGATCCAGGAATAGCTCCTGAACAATTCCAGGTGTTGTCTCAAACACCCCTGTACCTCCCAAAAATATTTCTTTATTTCTCAGGTATATAATCATTTTGTTATATGATGAAAAGTGTGTTAAAGTTTCCATTTATAAATTTCCAAAGCAATATTTCCTGCATCTTATAATAGCTGCCTCTCGCAATGTACTTCTACTTCTAGCAATATATGCTTATAGATACTCTACACTATGAAAGCAGCATCTTAATAAAGGTAGATGACTCCTTGTATTCTCATTGTTTTGGTTTTTTTCCCCCGGTTTTGGAGCTACACCTGGAAGTGCTCAGTGATTACTTCTTGTTCTGTGCCTAGAGATCACTCCCGGCAGTACTCGGGGTACCATATGTGGTACTAGGAATTGAACCAAGTTTACACCCAAAGTGTCCTTATGCCCAGCAAATGCCTTAATCCTTGTAATAGCTCTCTGACCTTCTCATTATATTTTGTTTAGAAAATATCTGTGATAGTATACTTTTTTTTTTAATGTTTGTTTTTTGACCACACTGGGAGCCTCATTTTATGCTCCCTTCCAGGAAAAGCAGACATGAGTTCTGGAGGGTGGCCAATGAGGAGATTATCTGGCACCGGCAGGGAGTGGCTTGTGGGTGTGACCCCTGGGCCGCCAGAGGCTGGGGGAAGCAGGCAGAGGATCTCTGCTCCCAAGTCCTATTAAGCCCAGAGTGTAGAGTCACAAGGTTCTGCATTACCTGGGTTCTGTGGGACTTTGTTTATGTGTGAAGCTCGGCCCAAACATCTAGAAAGCAGCCTGGAGCATGATGGTGGTTGGATAGTGGAGGTAGTGGGGCATAAAATGAGGCTCCCATAACCATACCACCAGACTCTGCACGAGGGCCCTCCCCGTCCCAAGGGACCCAGCCCCAGCAGCCAGCCTCCACTATCCAACCGCCGCCATGCTCCAGGCCGCTTTCTGGACTGCAAAGTGGCCACGCAACAGTCACATCATAAGACACTTCCTACCTATTTTCCATAATTACCACACCATAGTTGATAGGGTTCAGACAGTAAGTAAGCAACAAATCATAGAAATATATATATATATATACATATGTGTGTGTGTATATATATATCACGATCACGATCATCCTGTTGTTCATCAATTGTCTCGAGCAGGCACCAGTAACATCTCCTTCTACCTAGCCCTGAGATTTTAAAAGAGCCTTTCCAATGCTCTTTCAAGATTAGGAGGATGAGACCCATCATTGTTACTGGTATTCGGCATATTGAGTATGACACGGGAAGTTTGCCAGACTCTGCCGTGCGGGCAGGATACTTTTGGTAGCCTGCCAGGTTCTCCAAAGGAAAAATGAGACAATAGGATGTTGTGTGGCCACATTTGCGGCCACGCGCTTCCAGGAGATGGGTTTTATAGTCTTTGCGTCTTGGCTGTTGATGGGACCAACCTGGCGCTGGCGGCAGCTGGTGGGTGTGACGCCTACCTACTGGAAGATGGGGCGTCTGGGTGGAGAAGGCCCAGTCCCAATCTGAGCAGGCTTTGAGACCTCAGCCCCGGGACCTGCATGTCTGGGTTCCTCTGCCAGTTCTTTCATGCATGAGGCTTGTCTGGACGTATGGGGAGTGGTCCCAGCATGGCCGTGGCTGGCTCCGGAAGTCCTCAGCTGCTGGGACTCTGCTCAGGGCTGTGGTGGCGGGGGAGAGAAGCTCAATCCTCCCCCCTCCAAGGGGCCCAGGCGCGGGGCAGGAGACATATAATATACATATATATACATATATATATATACATATATATATATACATATATATATATATACCTGCACGGGTAGAGCCTGGCAAGCTCCCGGTGGCATATTTGTTATGCCAAAACCAGTAACAATAATGGGTCTCATTCCCCTGACCCTGAAAGAGCCTCCAATTGTTGGGAAAGACGAGTAAGGAGAGGCTGCTAAAATCTCAGGGCTGGGACAAATAGAGACGTTATTGGCACACACTCGAGTAAATCGACTAACAACGGGGTGACAGTGACAGTGACAGACAGTGACCAAACTGGGTGGTGCTCAGAGCTTAGTCTTGGCTCTTAGCTCAGAGATCACCCCTGGCTGTGCTAGGGGACCATATATGGTGCCAAGAATCAAACTCTAGTTGACTGAATGCAAGGCAGGTGTCTTTCTGGCTATACTGGTAGAAAAGTCATTTTAATGTAAAATTTTGTTTCTTCTACTAAATGAACCTATTTTTTCATTCTTATTCATATTGCTTATGATACAAGACAATTATGTGAACTCCATGATGATTATTTATATTCATGGTCACGGTCCTCCCGTTGTTCATCGATTTGCTCGAGCGGGCCCAGTAACGTCTCCGTCATGAGACTTGTTGTTACTGTGTTTGGCATATCGAATACCTCACGTGTAGCTTGCCAGTCTCTGCCTTGTGGGCGAGATACTCTCGGTATCTTGCTGGGCTCTCCGAGAGGGGCAGAGGAATTGAAGTCAGGTCGGTCATGTTGGCCACTTATAAGGCAAACGCCCTACCACTGTTTGGTTTTAACTTGTTTGTATTCTCTTATATACATTCTCTGTCCCTCTCAGAGGGCCCGGCAAGCTACTGAGAGTATCCCGTCCGCACAGCAGAGCCTAGCAAGCTCCCCATGGCGTACTCGATATGCCAAAAACAGTAACAATAATGGGTCTTATTCCCCTGACCCTGAAAGAGCCTCCAGTACTGCAGCATTGGGAAGGACGAGTAAGGAGAAGTCGCTAAAATCTCCGGGCTGGGATGAATGGAGACATTACTGGCTCCAGTCGAGCAAATTGATGAACAATTAAATGACAGTGATACAGTGATACTGTGCCCTTTTCAGAAAAGAAATCATTGCTCTCCTGGAAATCTCCTTTCTTGAAGAGAGCAAGAAAGTGCTCTATTTGTGTCTGAGGTGCCTACAAACCCCCTCAATTATTCCAGCACTCCCTAGCATAACAGAACATGAAATGAAATTTATATTAAGAATATAAAAATTCCTCGCCCGCTCCTCTCTGGAAAGAAAGATGGCGGCCGCACGGGAGCCTTGTGGACAGCAGGTTTGAGCCGGGGGTGGGGGGCGGCAGGGGCCTCATGGGAAGGGAGGCGTTCTGGGCCGTCCTTCACGCCCAACCGAAGTCACCAGCTGCCCCCCACGAGCGGCTCTCCGGCACGGCCATGGCCCCAGAGGCACAAGGACTTAGCACAGAGAGCCACCCGCTTGGAGCAGAAAAGCAAATGGACTATGTGTTAAACCGCGCCAGCATGCCTGCCCGGAGGGGAAAGGGTGTTAACCCACTGGCCCGCTCCTCTCTGGAAAGAAAGATGGCGGCCGCACCGGAGCCTTGTGGACAGCAGATTTGAGCCGGGGGCGGGGGGCGGCAGGGGCCTCATGGGAAGGGGGGCGTTCTGGGCCGTCCTTCACGCCCGACCGAGGTCACCAGCTGCTCCCCACGAGCGTCTCTCCGGCACGGACACGACTCCAGAGCACAGAAACCAATCTCTTAACTATCTAACTTTTAATAGAAATACTTCCAGGGTTAATAAGTAAAACAGCAGAAATCCAAAACGGCGCGGCCGCTATTGCGGCCACGCGACATCATTTTATTCTTAAACCCAGCTGTAGAAAGCAAATCATTTCACAACGCTGTTTCAGCATATCTGATTGGGGGGGGGGGGTCATAAACTCTAAACAATAATTGTGCATCTTCTATCGAAACAATGTATCTAGTAAAAGTAGATAGAGTATTAACTAGAACTCATCTGCCTCACAGGAATTGGGAGGGGTGGGAGGTGGGGTTCTATTGGGGTTCGCAGTTAAAAATAAGTATTGGTAAAGGGAAATGTGTTTGATACTTACATGACTGAGACCTAAACCCAAAAGCTCTGTAACTTTTCCCACAGTGATTCAATAAAGAAATAAATTATTAAAGAAAAAAAGAATATAAAAATTCTAAACAGATTTCTTTTACTGTGTGCCCCAAACTAATATTGTGACATTGGAAATGAATTCCAAAGTTTTCATATTAAAAAGAAGTTAAGAGTCCAGAGAGATAGTATAGCAGGTACCAAGCTTGCTCTGCATGTGACAGACCTGGATTCAATCCTTGATACTCCATATGATCCCTCATGCATGCCAGGAGTGATTGCTGGCATTGGCTAAGCATATACCTTGAGCACTCTCATGTGTGGCCCCCAAACCAAGTAAATAATACTTAATTTAAAATTTACTGTGTGTAGGAGCACTTACCTTACATGCAGCCAACCAGGGTTTCATCCCCGACACCTGTCAGGAGTGATCCCTGAGCAGAAAGCCAGGAGTGAGCCCTTAAAACCACCAGGTATGGCCTCAAAACTCAAAACAAACCAAAATAAATTATTATTTATAAGTCAATGGACCAGAATGTTGCTCATAGTAGATCCTTGTCTGGTATGTGTGAGTGAGGCCCTGGGTTTAATTCCCTGGGTTTAATTCCCGGAACCAAATAATTACTATAATACATATAATAGTCAGAGCCTTCTTTTTCCTTAAACTGATGGGAAGAAATTTTGATTTTAGATATCTTTAGTATGCAACATTTTTCTTTATCTTAGAGAATTAAATAGTAAAATTTAGTTCACTGTTTCTTATATGCTCTCTTTTATTTGCCATTTTTATTGATGTACCATGATTTACAATGATGTTCCTTATACTTTTCACACATAGATAATTCTAATATCACACTCCCTAACAGAGCAACTGCTAATTAGTGGGCATTCCCTCAACCAGTGTTCTCAAACCCCTCCCATTCACACCCCTCCTCCCCAGATAAGCTCAGTTCTTAGACAAAATCTTTAAATCTTTTGGCCATTTTTCCCCTTAATAGGGTTTTTTTTTTTCCACTTTTTGAGTCACACCCGGTATGCCCAGGGTGGACTCCTGACTCTGCACTCAGAAATTACTCCTGGCATTGCTCCGGGAACCATTTGGGATGCTGGGAATCGAACCCAAGTCAGCCATGAGCTAGGCAAACACCCTACCCACTGTGCTATCACTCCAGCCCCTTAATATGTTTTTTCATATTCCACATACGCGAGAAATCTGTTCTTGATTGTGATTTTGGTGATACCTACACACATATAAATGAATAAAGCTAATTTCTAAAATTCTACAAAGTTGTAAATCAATAATAAGTCAATTAAAAAATTCAGAAGCTCTAAATGTTTTATAGTTATGTAAATTATGTATATGAGAAACTATCATTAACTGTTGTGTAAACCACAGAATATGAATCCACATAAAAATAGTTAATTTTTTAAATAAAAAGAGAAAAGATTAGTTTTTTAGAGCCAGAGAAATAGCAGTTAAGACAAGTTGCCTTGCATGTGGCCAATCTGGGTTTGAACCACATGGTTCTCCAAGCACTGCCAAGATTGGTTCCTGAACATAGAGCCAATAGTAAGCCCTCAGCACTGCTGAATATGGCCCCAAAAACCAAACAAACAAATTTAATGAAAATATGAATAGGCCTACAAAAGTATAAATGTGTGTTTTACATTAGAAAATATTATCTCATGGATAATGCATATCTGCATTAATAAGTTACCAAATAACTTTATAAATGCAAAAAATGTCACCTAAACATTTGTCACCGCCACTGTCCTCCCATTGTTCATGGATTTTCTCAAGCAGGCCCAGTAATGTCTCCATTGTGAGACTTTGTTGTTACTGTGTTTGGCATATCGAATACTCACGAGTAGCTTGCCAGGCTTTGCTGTGCGAGTGAGATACTCTCGGTAGCTTGTGGGACTCTCCGAGAGGGGCAGAGGAATCAAACTATGGTCGGCCACGTTGGCTGCGTGCAAGGCAAATGCCCTATGTGCTGTGCTATCGCTCCAGCCCTGGGAAGAACATTCAAAACAAATGAGACATTAATTCTTACTTTAAAACTATAAAACCCTCAGCTAGATAGTAATAAACAGCCTTTCTTAATCTAGTAGAATGCAGCCTTAAGCACCATGAGTGAATGCCAAATTCGGTGACAAAATGTTGAGAAGTTTGTCTTCTTATCTCTTAAAGCTCCTTTACTGCTCACAAAACTGTTTTAAGGCTATGAATTCCCTAAGCTAGTGCTTGTCCATGAAGTCTTGTATTTAAATATGAATGAAAATTTGGCTGGATAAAGTATTGTTGGTGGTGTTCATTGATTTTTTTTAAACTATACCCACGATTGTCCTCTGACCTGTAGAATCTCATTTGATTGCTTGATCTGCTGTGAATCTCACTAGAGTTCCTCTGTAGTTTCTCCTTTGATCATGCTTCTTTCAATATTCTGTCTTTGTCTTTAGTCATTCTGATTATAGTGTATCTTGGAGCTTTTCTATTTGGGTGTTTTTTCACTGGGATTCTTTAGGCCTCTTGAATCTGGGTTTCTGTATTCTTTATCTCTAGAAAATGAATCTCTAGAATATGAATTTCTTTGACCAGAGATCTGTCTGTGATTTCTTTGGCCAGTATGTCTTCAACACATTCACTTCCCTGTTCCTCAGAGATTCTGATGATACTTTGGTTGTTTTGATTTTGAGGCCACACCCAGTAGTGCTCAAGACTTACTCCTAGCTTTGGGCTCAGGGATCACTACTGGTGGGGCTTAGGGGACCAGTTGTGCTGGAGATTGATTGAACTCAGGTCGGCTGTGTGCAAGACAAGTGGCCTACCTGCTGTACCATCACAGCATTAGATTCTGATTATTCTTATATTATTCCTCTTGAACTCATCTCTTCTCTGGTGAGCCATTCATTTCTTTCTAGATTTTTTTTTAACATCTTCTGTTGTTTACTAGCAGTTTCCTACATCACATCTTGGAGCTTGCAAATCTTGTTTTCAGTTGCTGTTACTCTTCTGTTCAGGCCTTCTATTGAACTTTTTCATGTCACCTACCATACTCTTCTTATTTGTCAGTTCTGATTATAGCTTTCTCATTTGCACTTTTGTAATTTCTAGTATTTTGCTGACTATCTGTATCATTGTTTCTTTGAGCGCAACATGATATTTCTAATTATCTGAGAAGTTACAGAGCTGGTAGAACTGGTAGAGCCTTCCATGCTATTATATTCATTCATTCAGTTTCGTGGGCTTCTATGTGGCTTCCAGTTGTGTTTACTGTGAGCTGAGGGTAAATCTCTATAGCTCACCCCACTGTGTGTCTCTGAGGGATTAGGCTGAGTGTTGCTCTATTCCTTCCCTCTATGTTCTCACTAAGTGACAGGGAATAAGTGTGTGCAGTGTGAGGTGTGATGAGTAGAGTGTAAGCAGCTACGCAGTTCAGAGTGTAGGCAACAGCAAGCACTTATGGATGCACAGTACTGATGTGAACCTGGAAGACTGAATGAACAAACAGAGGGCCAGAGCTATGAATGTGGGCCTGTTGAAATGGTAGGCTGCTGAGACCCAGACAGAAGGAAGGGAAGTTTCCAGTTCCAAAAAGGCCCCTGCCTGTGAGGAAATAGGTGGCTGGATCAGAGAGATAGTATAGCAGCCAGTAAGGTACTTCCCTTCCACACTGCCAGCCTGGATTCAATCCCCAACACCTCAGATGGTCCTCTGAGCTTACCGGAAGTGATTCCTGAATGTAGATCCAGGAGTAAGCCCTGAGCACTGCAGAGTGTGGCCCCCAAACAAAAATAAAATAAAATAACCCAGGGTTGTTGGCCAGGAAGTCAACCTCAACTGGATGACTGAATAAGTGAAGAGGGGGACTTGGATATGAATGTGCACCTACCCCATATCTTTTATAATGAGTCTGAGCTATGGTCACTCAACACAGAATTTGAAAAATAAATGTTTTTCTTTCTTATGAATAGCCAAGAATGGATTATAGGTAATGATTGTTTTTCATCAGTTTAAATTGTTTGTTTTTTTTTTTCAAGAAAGGCTTTGAGCATGATGAGATTTTTGCATGATGGGTTTTTTATGTAATCGTAATGCAGTTGTTCATTTGTGCTGATATTTGCATTTTTAAAGTGAACTAGGGGCCACAGAGATAGTACAGTGTGTAGAGCACTTGCCTTGCATGCAGACAACCTGGGTAAGGCTGCATATGGTCCCCTGAGCACTGTCAGGAGTAATCCCTTAATACAGAGCCAGGAGTAAAGCCTTAGTGCTAGTAAACCCTTAGTGTAGCCCAAAATACAACAACAAAAAAATAATTGCTCTAGAGTTTCAGATTTGGAAACAGCAATAGGATGAGTTTAAGAAATTTTAAAAGTATATCAAATTTATATCTAATATCACTAGGGAATAATAAGCAGTAGCCTTTTTATTTAAATTTATGCTTTGATTGGTTTTTTGTTATCTTTTGATTTTGAGGGTCATACCCAGCAAAGCTCCAGGCTCTGTGTTCAGGAATCACTCCTGGAAGGCTTGAGGGGGACCATATATGATGCCGGAGATTAAACCTGGGTCAGCTGTGTGCAAGACAAGTGCTTTACCTGCTGTACTGTCTCTCCAGCCTATTTAAATTTATGTTTTGAGTGCTTAATTTTGATTTTTACAAAACTGAAAAAATGGCTGTATCGTATATCACAAACCAGTATAAATTCAACAAATGATTTAGGAGATAGACCATCCTTCTGTCCCTTCCACCTTATATATGAAGTCAGAATATTTTTAAAACATGCTTTGTCATTATATATCAAGGAATTAATAACAAGCTATTTTTAAGATATGCTTTATCATTATCAAGAAAGTAATAATAGCTATTTTAAGATATGCTTTATCATGTATCATTGAATTAATAATAAGGAAATATTATGTGTGAAGGACTTCACTTATGGTCATAAGAATATAATGTCCCCAAAAAAGAAATATTTTTTTAAGTTTATAATTAATAAAAACTTGTATTTAGCAAAAATTTCTATTTTATTCACTGTATGATTAAGTTCAACTTTATTATTGCCCTGACAGTGACAGAAGAGCTGTGTTAGCTTCACAGACTTGCCTCACACCGCTGGGAAAGAATGGACGTAATATTATAGCAAATCTCGCGCTTGAATCTAAGGAACTTGTTAAATCTGTTCGTGCCATACTGGATATGGATTGTAAGTTTTCTGCATTTTTTTTTACTTCCAAAAAAGTTGCTCATTAACAAAACAAAAGAGAAAAGCCAGAGTGATAGGGCAGATAAGGTATTTACGTGCATGCAGCCAACCCCAAATTCAATCCTCAGCATCCCACATGGTTCCCTGAGCTCCATTAGTAGTAATTCTTGAGCCCAGAGCTAGGTGTAGCCTCTAGCACTGCCATGTATGGCCCAAAACCTTTTTTTTTTTAAAGAATAATTTTAAATATGAAAGTTTTGTGATGTTAAGTGTATTGTATTGACTTACTTAGAATAAAATTTGTTAAAAATCTCAATGAATTAATTGTGGGGGTAGAATATATATAAATATGTATTGTCTAGAATCAGCATTAAAGAAGTTTTGAATAGTGTACAGCAGATGGAATAAGTTGAAGGGATAGCTCAGTGAGTAAAAGACCCCCAGAATGCAATAAAGATGAAAGACCAAACTGCTTGAACAGTGAGATGAGTAGCACTGTGGAAAAGTCCCCAGGATCAAAGACAGAGAAAAACAAGGAACAGACCCTGGGGCAGTCAGCTGGGTCATTATTGAAAGGGCTGTGGAATAGCTGAACCCGTTCCCTACTTTTCATAGCTGCTGGCTCAAGGCCTTTACTCCCAAACTAGGGCCAAGAGAATACCTATCTCAAGGAACTGCCTAACCTGTCACTGAATAGCCCCAAATAGAGCATTGATTAGAAAGAAAGGCAGAACAGCAGTGTAGAGGGTGATGACTCAAAGGACTTGAGTGTATAGTTTGCATTCTAGGGACCCAAGTTTCAAATCTCAGCAGCGTATGAGCCCCAGGCACCACTGGAAATCATCCCTCTTTATCTTCCCTAAGCCGGGGGCCAAATATATTGAAAATGTAGAGAAATACAGATAAAGTTCTATAATAAATATAAAAATAATAGATTTTGCGTAAAGTTCTGGGTTATAAATTATTTGGTTTGATTTAAGCAATGTTCAAAGACCCTTGAGTAACATTTGACTTAAAAACTATGTTCTACAGGCTTGGAATTCATACCACTAGTAGATCTGCTCAATTTCTGCATTGAATTGTACAGGTACATGACAGAGCTATACTAAATGTAGCACTGTCCTCCCGTTATTTATCAATTTACTCCAGCAGGCACCAGTAATGTCTCCATTGTGAGACTTGTTGTTACTGTTTTTGGCATATTGAATATGACACAGGAAGCTTGCCAGGCTCTGCCGTGCAGGCAGGATACTTTCAGTAGCTTGCTGGGCTCTCTGAGAGGGGCAGAGGAATCTAACCCGGGTCGGCCGCCTGCAAGGCAAACGCCCTACCCACTGTGCTATGACTCTAGCCCTTCTGCATTGAATATATTTTTGACTATATTTTTTTAATTCTGTATTGCAGTTTTTAAAGATAATATTCTTAAAACCTTATAAGAGTTCTCTATATAAGAAAATTCTGTGAGTTTTAGAAGGAATGAATACTCATTCTTCTGTGTTATAATGTAAGCACAGGCATTTCTGAGTCAGGGTGGGAACAGTGGAGGGAAACACCTGCATAGACATAGCCCCGTGGACAATTGCCATCATTAATTTTAATTACCTTGCTAACATTGACCTTTCTATTTGTCAAACATGATTATTCAAAGGAAATATTTGAAATTCAGCAGAACTTCTTTGGAAGAAAAGTGAAAAATTCCATCTGCACTTTTTATTCATTATAAAATTATAGCTATTCTGCTGTTTTAAGACTTGCAAATAGTTTTTGACATATTTTTATTTAGAAATATAATTACTCATGTTTGCATATTTCCCAGTACTTTTATAATTTTATATGACTTATCTTTTTAAGATTGGTAATTCAGTTAAACTTAGCTCATTTTTCCTTCTCTTTAAGGAGAGCATTTTCTTTATATAATGAAAAGCAGAAGATAAGCAGATTACTACCAAGAGAGATATAAATTATTTATAGCCTCTACCACATTTCCTTTGCTTATAACTATCTAGTTATTTCATGGTACAATTGGAAACTTTTACTTAGGTAGTTGCCTGAACATTCTAGTTGGGAAAGGAACATGATAGTATATTTTACTATGGAATTTCCTTAGAAGGACTAGAATTTCTTGGGTTATTTAGTCTAAAACCAAGATCTGGTTTTAGAATCCAGAAGATTATTCTGAGCCATTTTTTTTTCCTAATGGATGTTGGTACACATCATTTTTGTCCAATTTCAGGAGTGCTTTTGAACCCCAACTTAAGAACACTGGGTGTGAATCACCATGGAAACTTACTTTCTATCGCAGAGTACAGTATAGCATAGTGAAGTGTGATGTAGTGTAGTGTAGTATAGTGTAGTATAGTATAGTATAATATAGTATAGTGTAATAGAGTATAATCGCAGTCCATTCAGCTCTCATCAGATGCTCTCCAGCAGGGAAGAGTAAGAGGCAGCATTGATTGGAGCTGAAGTTTGAATCCTTCTGTAAACTTTAGTGCTCCTAAGAATGTCTGATATACCTTGGAGGTGCCCCAGAGAGTTCCCCAGGTGCTCATGCAACTACAATGGGTAAATTATTTAACGTCCATGCCTATTTCCTCATATAAAAGATAGAGATAATGATAGCTGAAGAAGCAGGTTTGGAGAATTAAATAAGATGCCTGTAAAGTATCTAATAGAGCACCTGGTAGTATAAGATATTCCATAAATAGATTTGCTTCCACTGCTAATGCTGGTGCTTTATAATAATATGAATATTTAACAATATTAAATATTAATGATTTAAATATTTATGTGATATTCAATAATATCAAAAGCTTTTTGGATACATTTGAAAATATGATCAATAACAACTTTAAATTAAAATAAGGTGTTTAATTTTACTGATCTTAATTAGAATGCAATCGTCAGAGGAACTGCAGTTATGTGCCAGAATCAGCATTTTATCTTTCTGGTTTTTATTGTTAACTATAAGGAAACGTTGGTCTTTATAATGTTACATTAATTCCATCTAATTGAATTAATCAATTTGATGTTGACTAATTCAGCATCAAAACCTGGGTGGTGCTTAGGGAGATCTCCATTAGAATTTGCCAATCTAGTAATGCTTTAACATATTATTTGAAATAAATACTTATTTTGAGCTGCAATAGTTGTATAACTTCCAAATAGATTGGCAATTCTACAACAATTCTCCAAGGAAAAGGCAATTTTACTTAAAACATGCCTAACAAAGAAGTCACTAGCCAGATATTCTATAGGAGGCCATTAATAAGAAGAGAATTTATCTATTTCCCTGCAAATTGGCAGCATAAACATAAGCATCTCCTTCCTCCAAGATTACCATGAAAATGATAAATGGAACATTAATAATAGGATTAAAAATCTTCAAAAGCATGGGCTCGGCAGTTAGCACAGTGCTTGAGCACTTCCCTTGCACACATAAGACCCTAGTTTGATCACTGGCACTGCATATGGTCCACTGAGCAATGCCAGGAGTGATCCCTGACCGCAGAGCCAGGAGTAGGCCCTGGTCATTGCTGGGTATGGCACAGAAACAAAAATCTTCAGAAGCACTGGAAGTTATAGGCAGATCCCCAAAACGTCCATACAAATAGATTGTCCAGTATAGAAGAAAAACACAATTGATCTTTTGTTGGTCCTGCTGAACAATTAGGGAGTAAGAGAGCAGAGAAAGTCTGATAGAACACCGTTAAGGCTTTCTAATTTGAAGGGAATAAAAAAAATGTGAAGGGGATAGATGAACTACTATTACTACTTATCTTGATGAGTCAGTAACATTTGTTGAAATCCTGAGGAGTCATCCAGATTCCATGCCAAACTGAAAACTAACAGGTGTGTGGTCTGTAAACAGTACAAACATACTTTTTTATTTTTTTCAACTTAAATGTATTTCTTTTTTTCTTAAATTTTGTTTGTACACGGTTCACGGTCCTCCCATTGTTCATTGATTTGCTCGAGCAGGCCCAGTAACATCTCCATCGTGAGACTTGTTGTTACTGTGTTTGGCATATCGAATATGTCACGAGTAGCTTGCCAGGCTCTGCCGTGAGGGCAAGATACCCTCGGTAGCTTGCTGGGTGCTCCGAGAGGGGCGGAGGAATCGAACTCGGGTTGGCCATATTGGCTGCGTGCAAGGAAAATGCCCTACCGCTGTGCTATGGCTCCAGCCCAAATTTTGTTTAATTTTTAAAAATTCTTTATTAGTGAAACACCATGAGGTACAGTTATAGACTTACAAATTTTTGTGCTTGGGTTTTAGTTATACAATGATTGAGTACCCATCCCTCCACCAGTGCCCATTCCCCCACCTTCAATGCCCCCAGCATCCCTCCCACCCACCCCCACCTCCCCATCCCACACCACCCCTGTGACAGAGCATTCCCTTTTGTTCTTTCTCTCCTTTTGGGTGCTGTGGTTTGCAAAAGAGGCATTGAGTGGCAATCATGTTCGATCCTCCCAGGATGAGAGATGCATGCTGAAAGTAGACTACAAACACACTTACGTATGACATACATCAGCACATAGAAAGCTTTAAATGACAGTGACTTTGGCACCTCTAGTCCTAGCTGACCTCTCTCTCCCCTCAGACTGCTGCTTTGTCTTTATTCAGCGCAAGAGCACAGGGCCAACTCTCACTTGACCTTTGGGAGGATGACTGAAGCAGCACCTTAGTTGAATGTCAGATCAACAAGGGGTTCGATTCATCCTTTGAAAAGTCAAAAACTAGTTTCTGAGTAGAAGGCTCCCTACATTAAACTACTTCATAAAGGGAATATATGTATGTGTTTATAAACACACATTTCTTTTAAGTTTATATAAACAAGGTTTATGCATATACATTATAAAGATGATTTTGAAAAAGTACACAGCACTTAAAGCCAGAAAATATAACCATCAAAATTAAAAATAGACTTCAAGATCAAGATGGTTAGAGTGATCTATGCCAAAACATCCCCATTCTGCTCCTACCCTTAGAAATG